GAGGAAGATGTAGTTTTGGATACAGTGAGTCTTGGCTGGTCTGGTGGAACTAGATGGGAAACAGTTAAAAATAGAAAATAGATTCAAATGATTAGATGTGATCTTAATCTCTTCTAATAGTCATTTATCAAACAATTGTTTTGAGTTACAAAAAATGCAAATGATTTCTGTTAAAGTGTCTGTTTAGCTGACATCCTTGGTTAAGACAAGAGCAGACGAGCTCTCATTTTTCATATTTAATTTCCTACACTATTTTGTCTTTCAGTTCTTAATCCTTGCTTTTCTCTGATTTTTTCGTATATGTCCTATCAGATCTAAATGGCATCTGAGCTACCCAACCATTATTTTTCATTATTTTTTACATCTGCTTTAGGGAGAACTTGAATTTTTAGTGGTGGGAAACAGATGTCTACTTGCAAATGATGTTCTACTCATGTATGTGTCTGCAGGCTATTATGGTAAAAGCAAAAAAAAAAATAGTGCTTAACAAGAGTTTCTGCAACTGTGAGTGTCAACTAGGTAGCATAGGTAGATTTGTGACTGGAGGAAGATCTATACCTCTTCCAGATCACACCATCTGACGCTATAAAGAAAACACAACTCTATCAGCAAAGGCTGAACAAACCTGGAAACCCTTCAGTTCTGCTCCTCCCCATAAACATTATGGCTGTGGGACACAAGAATCACATGGTTCTCAGGACCAGCTCCTGACTGAGAGCAGGAATAAGTCAGAGGTCTCACTTCCCATCCACTGCCCAATGTTCACTTTCCTTTGAAGCAAAATCTAACATGGAAGGGCAGAGAAGGAGCCATGCTACAGCCCAACAGGTTGTCCAGGGTAGGGAGAACTGGTACTGGGATTTAGGAAAGGGAATTGGAACTGGAAATGGGATTGGGAACTGGGATAGTTTAGCTTCAGCCTAAGTGACTCCAAATTGCAGCACTGTATAGTGGTTGGGTTTCCAGAGCTCAACATTCAGGGGCAGAAAGTGGCAAAGTAACCAGCTTTTTCTTCACCTTGACAAATCTATCATGAGTCTATCGTATAAAAGGTGTCTGCTGAGCCAGTATGATCATATCCTAGTTATAGTCTGGAGAGCTCATCTTTGAATTCTGCATGAATCATTTAGCTAGTCCTGATGTACAAGGGAGGTAACCAGTACCATGGCACAAAACCAGTAAGGCCGTGGAGGATAACGTTTGTTAAAATAGAGATGAATGGCAGGTGAAACTCCAAAGAGCTGGTCAAATTAGGACTAGAGCCCTGAAGGGTAAGTGTTTACTAACACTTCAACCAAGTGCTTTACATCTGCAATTCTAGGTTCAGAAAATGAAAGGAGGAGAAAGGGAAGTTCCTGTTTCAAATCCTTTGTACTGCTCTGGTCATGCACAGCAGCACTGTCTGGCTTGTCTTGCAGATTATTTTCTCAGCAAGTGTTACTAGAGGTTACTCCAAGCTCCTCAGAGACAGAAAATAAAGCTTTGCTGCCTCAAGAAGGAGTGAGACATGGACAATGTCTGTCATAGCAAGGGATCTGAGAAGCTGGGATGGAAAGTCAGGGAGAAGAGTTGTCAGAAAAGTCACACCTCCTCCGGTCACTGCCACTGCAGGAGTGGGAAGGGAGGGGTGGTGTCAGTGACTGCTGCTGCCAGGAGCTGCCATTTTCCTGCCGTAGTTACTGCTTGACAGACACCAGCCCATAAGCGAGGCAGTCCAGATGCTTCGTCGTGTCCCGCAGTCAGCTGCCAGAGGATGTTGCCTGCTTTGCCTGTGCCTAAGGGGTAGCTCTACCTGCAGAGGGAAACTCCAGGAAAAGCCCTCTGCTGCAGCTCACGTGCAAGTCATCAGATGACTGCAAAATAATAACTGCTGATATGAAGTGGAGGCTGCTGGTTTACAGCTGTGGACTAATTCAAAGGGAAGATGATTTTACTGCCCTCACAGGGCTAGAAAGTACTGAAGAAAACAAAAAAGACAGTTTATATTCTAAAGGAAAATTCCCTATGTGAGATGGATTTGTTCCATTATTCTGACTGACTTGGCTGATTCCATGGAGGGAGACTATACACACTACGCTGTGAAAGATTTAATGTAAAACCTTTCATCACAGCTTCACCCTACCTACAAAAGATGGTGGTCCCACACATTAAATGTCAGTCTTTTTCTGTCCCTCAGGGAAGCAATATTGATTTGCTTTTAGTTACTGCAGTTCAGTAACAGCAAGGATATGCAATTACAAATGTACCTAGTGAAATATAAATACAAGGTTTCCATTTGATAGGGTTTTCTCTCCCTACTTCCCGTTGTGGTCGTGATCCAAACATTGCAGAAGAGCATCTTTAGGATCTGTTGGATCGTAGGTAAGTTAATATACACTACAGCATTTGTTTCAGGGCTTAATGGAACAATTTATGCAGAGAGAGATGGACTGCGGTTGAAACATTCTCTTTCTGTGTTCTCATACGTTTGCGCTAGGAATTTAGATTGCGTATCAGGGGACAGGAGAGTGACTGACCACAGCGTGGCCCATATTCCCAACTCAGATATTTGTTTCCCGCCAGTACAACAATGTACAGTCAACTGAAGCACTTGTAAGATCTGCTGTAGTGTAAGCAAGTAAGGAAATCTCCTGCACAGTGAATTCTTGGTGTGTGATACACATGCTTTGCTTCATGTTACTGTTAATTTGTATTCCTACGTTGTCATTGTTTTTATACATATCAATACCATAATGGATACATTATATACATTTCAACATGCATATAAAAAGTAGCTAGTAATATGCGCTAGTTGAGGGTGTACTGATGTTTCATTTTAAATGCTTCCTCATATTCTCCATTAATAAAATTCTGCTCTGATATAACAAAGTTTTTGTCCAAGGTCTCAAAACAGAGGCAGATTTCTGTTGATACCTTTTTCAGAAGCTAAAGTACAGGCCTTCACTCTTTCTGAATTTTTCAATATTTAAATGATACATGTAATATTTGTAAGGAGAAGGTGTAAGCTGTTATTTTCTCTGTGAAGAATTAGAAAATAACTGAATGCAAACATTCAGTTGTCAATCCTACAAAAGTTTACATAGAGATCCAATTGCAAGCGTGTGAATTGTTTCACCAAAAGGAAAACATTTGCTATATCATAAAATGTTGATGGCTGAGTCGAAATGACCTGCATAATATTTTACTTATTAATTTGGAAGAATGAAATTTGTATCAATACACATTAATACTAATGTTTTACATACACCTGCAAACAGACATACCTACACATTACCAGCACATAGCAGTTAATAGCTGTGATAACAATTAGGAGGTAGATCAAATAGTCTTACCTTGTACCTGCAAATTCAAAATTATTTCGTCTGATCCCCAGTTGTTACTGGCCACACAACTGTAGTATCCAGAGTCTTCTGCCTTCACGGTGCGGATGACAAAGCTGCCATTGCTAAAGATGCTTCTTCGCCCATCAATCATCACTAGACTGGGTGTCCCGTTACTACCTCACAGGAAACAAAGTGCATACATTAAAGAAGTTACAATCAAAATTACTCAGAATTGGATTTTTTTTTTTGAAGCAACTAAGAATGGAAAGAAAGAAAAAGGGGGAGAGGGGTGTCCTCTTTAATGAAGACAGCAAAGGAATATTATCTGTTGGGAAACATCTGCCATTTGCTTAAAGAACGCACATATCCTGGCCTCAACTTGAGTGAAAATGGAAATTCACTCCTTCCTTAACTATCTGCTCTTTCATAAAACTGCCAGAATAAGAGTAAAGGCAGTTGCTGTCTACAAAGTCCATTTTTATAATAGCGATTTGTACCAATGCACAAGATGGTTTCATAGCACTGCAGTATCACTGCTTACACAGTGCTTGGATGAAAATTATTTTCCATGTGTGTTTCCAAGTGAGTCAAACTCTGAAACTAAAGATCAAAACACAATAATGTAAAACAAGATATGTGCAAGACAGGTACGCTGCACTCCACAGCATGATTCAATGCATCAGACATTTTGCTTTCTCTGGCTAAAACTGTTCTGCGTGCCTGAAGTTAAAACAGAAAAGATCCCTAGGTTTTACATTTTGAAAGTTTACCTTTAGCCCTTCTTCATAACATTTCCTCTCTTTTGATACATTCTAATCACCACAGCCAATGAGTTTTAGTTCGAGGAATTTCTGAACTCCTTATTTACTGTGACTGTGTGCAGTTCCTGCAAACAGTCCTTCTCTTTCCTGACACAGTCACCCAGGATCACCCACATTGCAGCCCTCAGGATTTTAAACAAATGGGCTTTATTTGAGCTATACATTTAGTTGCTGGTTACCTATCCTTCATCCATTTGACTGTCGGAGCTGGGTCTCCCACAGCTTTGCAAGGGAGGACAATGTCCTTCATCCAGGGAGTTGTCACCGTGCCACTGAATGTCAAAATCCTGGCAGGAGCTGAGCAAGAGAGAGCAAGAAAGGCTGAAATGAGGTTTTTGCTCATACAGCCTTTGGAAGGGAAACACAGACATCCAGAATTAAATTTGGAAAACCAAACCAATCTGTTTCAAGCTGTTCTTTTAGGAAACTAATTCTTTTTAACTCATAGTATAAGCACTTACTCAAGCACAAATATTATAGTTTTAGCATCTGGAAGGCAAGTAGCTAAAAGAGAGATGAGGCAGAAGACTAGAAGAATCCTTGTGGAGAAAAAGAGCAAAACCAGTTATTGATAGTCTGTATCGATTTGTATATATTTCATACTAGAAATTATGGATTAAAATTATGTCCAAGGGATGCTTCTCTTCAAGTTTCCAGCAGGAAGTGTCCACAGTAGACAGGTATCTTACGAAAGCTAAATTACTGATACATCACTCTTACAATATTTGCGGTATTAAGCAAAATAAACCTCCATGTATGAATGCGTTAGTACATTGCAAAGAGACTATCTGAAGCCCACAAATACGAACAAACTCTTAAGTCAGTCTAGTTTGTGTCAGCTTTCATATCACTTAAATATATCAACAAAAATATCGCTCCTGTAGCTTCAGATTATAATATACAGGAATACTAGGGTTATGTTATAGCTTTATTTTATGTTATTACTCAAGAATAACCCTTGACAGAAATAGACTTCTTGTTGGACCCTAAATATACATTTCAAAGACACACACTGAATACAGATACATGAAATACTGTATTTTTAATTCTGATCTACTTCAGCCATGTACAGAGATCAGAATTTATATTTGCACCAATTAGAAAAGCATAAAATTGAGAGCCAGCATCAAATATAACTAGGACAGTTAATCTCAGAAAAAAAAATAATCATGCATTAAAGAACAGGCCTTGAAGAGTTAAGTGAAATTACTTGAGTAGGCTGCAGTGGGACTTGAGATATTTATAAAAAGAAAAGATTTCATAAATTATATGAGTAGTTTAGATGGTGTTGCCTATGTTATCTTCAAGTGTTGCTGAAGATTAAGCTTATAGAGGTATTTTTCTCTGGTCAAAATTTTAACTGAAAACACAAGAAGTAGCAGTTTAAAGACTTAGAGTAACGGGCAAAGTCAAGGTTAGGTACTCTTCAAAAAGCAGCAGGAGATGCTGTCAGCTGTGACTATCTAAGAAATACATCTGTACACATATGGACTGCTCCTAGTAGCTGCAATGCATTTTTAGCAATGGTGTTTAGAAACTCGAATTCTTGTTCCATGCAAAATTCCTTTTGTAACATGAAGCCTGAAAACTCATTTAAAATTAACTATTAATCCTTTTCTTCCTGGCTTTCCCACCTCTCCAGCACTTCTCGAAAAATTCAGCTATTTCCAACTGCTGCCAACTGCTTACTT